AACTTCAAGCACAAGAAAAGATTTCAATTGGCCTTTTCAATTTCAATGACATCCGTGTTTTCTGAAACATGATTTTCAGGAAAGCTCTCTGGGAAATACAAAAATGTTATCAATTAAATTTCAAGAAATCAAGGTATCAAGAAAATATCAATAACTTCTTCAATATCATACTACAGACTGGGCTACAGACAGTTTTCTTTCATTTCATTATGCAGACACGATAAGACAATTTTTTGACTTAAATGTCATGTCCCAGTTCTCCGTTTTCTTTTCAGTCTGTCACTTTCCACTTGTCTGTTCAAAATGATACGAAATATTTTCCGCAGGGCTCTCCATTTTAGATTTGAGTCCATAACTTTTAGTCTCTACCAGATGTTCTGTAGATTATATGCATAACCTATACAAGTACACCCCAAATATTCCATTCGCATGAGCAGGATAATATTAATTTGATATGTAGAAACCCAGGCTTTGGAAAACAACTTTATATTCAGCTACTTAACTTCATTGGAACTGGAAACGAACACAGCAAACAGTAAGCAACAACAGTCCATTTGCTTCAAGGCACAATAGTAACAATCATTAGTGCTAGCCAAGATCACCTTTAAGGGAAGGCAGCTCTCCCACTGAAAGACCTGTATCTCATTGCTATCTTCTGAACTTCAAAAAAGTTTTTCTTTTGTTTTTTCTTTCTCCCCCCCCCCTCACCACCACAATCCACCAAGTTGGCCTGGGAATTCTTCAGAATACAATTAAAAAAAAAAAACAAACTACTGTGACTTGGATTCTGGCACATCTCATCCATTTGAAAAACACTGACTACGTGACAAAGCTACAAGCAACTTACATGAGAAAACATTTTTTTAGGAAACAAATGAATCCCCTTGGAGAACATGCAAGGTGAAAAGTCGTTGGAAAGAACAAGGGAAAAACACGCTAAAAACCTAAGACATTCATTTGGAAGTCGGTGAAAAAAGCAACGTAAAACAGGCATTTGTCAGTACAACTGAATTAAAAATCTGATGTTTTCCAAGAAAACAATTGTGTTGGAAACCACATGTTTGATGCAACAGCTGAGAGATTATGAATTGGTAGATACACTGCATATCAATCTTCTTTGTGCCCAATATTTGCTTACATGATGAACTGCCAACAGTTGAGTCCCAGCAATGAGTAATAGTATGTTGCCTTCAACTAACATTGAACAAATGAAATTGTTACACTAATAATTGATTTCAATAGGACCTTCACAAATGATGCATGTCTTATTGTCAATCATCAAAGACTTAAGAAAATGAGTTTCACTTTTCCTTACATTACATTTTGCCTATTGACTGATCATTGCTTTGCAGTGAAGCACAGATGATCATATAATTACCAATGCTGCCTTTCCCAAAACAGCTGTGAAGCAATCAATACAAGCTCACAGCATGGTAGGAAAGAAGATCTTCCTTCCTGCGTGAACCTTGCTCTGCCTCTATTATCCCTGAAACCTTTCTTCCTTCTTTTCACACCCTTCCTTTGTGAGTTTTTCTAAACTGAAACATTGCCACAAGGTGACACTTGTGCATTGGATGAGAACAAACAATGTTCACAAATTTGTGTTAACAAAAACAATGTAGCAATATGTGATTCCCTTGGCTTGGTAAGTGTCGCATTCAATAACTATGTCAAACTGTTCAAACCACCACTAGGTACATCAAAGTGTCAATGCCTCTCTTCTTTGCAGCAGCTGAGGAAGTCAGGTTGGTCAGAGTTCTACATAAAAAACCCTAAAGGATTTGTCACAATTTATTCACATGGGAAGATAGTTTGGTTAGAGATTTTTGACAGACCAAGTCATTTAAAAATATAGAAATAAAATCTTAGAATCATACAACTTATACTTTGATTTATATTTTAAGGGACCGATGATATATTTGGCGGCGGCGATGGTTAGCGTACTGGACTGTTGTACCCAAGTTGGCGGGTTCAAATCCGACCGAAGCCGTGGATTTTTAAGGGCGAAAAAATCCTTCGTACGCCTTCCTTCGGAGGGGAAGTAAAGCCGGCTGTCCCATGCTCGTAGATTTACTTGCATGTAAAAGATCCTCAAGCCTAAACGACACCTCTGAGCTAAATTCAAATTGCCTGTTTCTCGCCCAAGAAATACCTCCTTTCTCCCTTAGTTGGTGAAAGGAGCGTTGCAAAATTTGCGTGGAGACGGAAGAGCGGGCCTAATGGCCCGAGTCTCGCCACGTAAAATAAGGCAAATTCAATTCAATATAAAGTCATTGTTACACCTTCTGCCTTACAAAACCAATCTTTTAAAATAAGCTCATTTCTGAGAAAAAGCCCCATTGAAAAAGACAATTGAGATTCATTTTATTCTATTTATTCAAAGATTCATTTTATATGTTAATATTCATTAGTGAATATTGAACTAAACAAAATGATAGTGACAGAACAAAAACTCTCAAGCTCAAACTCTCTGGCCAAACTGGTTTTGAATATGCAACATGGCAAGTGTCTTACTCAGGGTGTCAACAAATCAACTATTCAAAATTCACTGCTTCATCTATCATTGGCATCAAGGCCAAGAAATTTTCCCAACTTGTAAATTCACTTACTGTTTGAATTAGAAACATTTTGTAGTCATATTGGCACTATAATCATGTCTTTTTTGAGCCAAATAAACTATAAGCATGATTTTTATAAAGAAACTACTATAATCTTAAAGTTTACTTATTGAGACTATCCTGACAATGGGAAGAAGTAAAGGGTTTCATTATTTATTATGACACTTCGTTCTGTTGCCAGTTTTCAAGGAGATTTAAACAAAAGGTGGCACAGACAACACAATGTGTGGTGTTGCCTTGTAAATGCATTTTGTTTTAAGAATTCATTTCTGATTGTTGTGTTGTTTAAAAATTGTAAATGACATGCAGCAGTATATTTATTATTTCATGAGTATTTGTAAACAAGGAAGGATTTGTTTTTTCTATTGTCATTCTTCTCCATTACACAATTATTTCTATAGATTTCTTAAAACAAGATAAATTTAGTTCAACTACTTGGATGTCAAGTATTATAAAGTAAAGTGGAGATGTATCTTTGGCTTGTGTAAAAAAAGAATTTGTTTGCACTTCACGTCAAATGTTAGTGTAGCCAACTTCTCATTTTGAATAAAAGCAACAAGACAAATACTATGCGTCATGTGACACCTCAAGAATTCTACAACTTCTCAACCACAAGTCAAAATTCTAGTATTCATGAATTCATGCCACATCTTTGCTCAGGTACTCACGTTTGCTCAATTCCAAGCAACGAAAACCATAGAATTCTCCATTAAACCCAGAATAATTTAATTTCTGAACATTTTCAACACCAACAACACATGCACAGGCAATTGTGAAATAACAAAAATCTATTTACAAATTTAAAAAAATGATAGTACTAATACAATGTATGAATTGTCATAGATTTGGTTCTGGGTGGAGCTGAATAATGCTCTGTGTCAGTCAATTCTCAGTGAAATGGTGATTTCACTTAACTATCACAATCCAAAAGTCCATATTAACCCTCTTCCACAAAACCTTAGTCTGACAATATTCAGCCTATTCTTCTAACAGTCAGTTTGGAATCTCACTGGTATGCCAATACTCCACCTGCATCTCCCTCCCAATAGTTTCATCAAACATGTGAAATTCCACATTAGTTAACTACTTAATAAGAAGGGGATAACTGAAGAAAGAAAAAAAGAAAAACTCTCAGTTGAATGAAACTGCATCAACAAGAATCAGAATAAATCTTAAAAGTAAAAGATACTTATTCCTTTTAAGATACTTGACCCTTAATATACTCAACTCTTAAATTATGTGATTCAATATATCAATAATGATATCAACTTCAAGTAATTTCCCAATCTTAACTTTTTTCAGTCTTCAAAAGTGATCATCATTGCATTCGATTTTAAAACATGCTGTTATTTATTTAAAAAAAATAGTAATTTTACTACATTGAAAAAGTATGAACCAAAAAACAAACTGACATTACAATAATAATGTAATAAAAGAAACACATTTGCATAGAAATGAATTATTTTTATGTCCATTGAACAATGATTAGTCAATTCATGAATTTCTTTTAGACCCTGAATTTTGTTGTAAAAACTTTATATTTATACACAAACCAGATTTAAATATTTGGTGTGGTTTCAGTGAACATTTACTCAAATTTCCAGACAATCAAACTTTTTAATTTTTCTTACAACATATATTACTGAAATTCTTCCATTCTAAAAACAGGAGAACTTAATCGAACAGCAATTAAAATGTAGATATCAAAAGTCATTGTTAAGTAAGCAATGTGTGTGTTGAAGAGAAGGCATGTTGTTTTAATCTACAAAATTAACCTTATCAAAGAATCGATCTTTCACAATGTTTAAAAGGAGATATTAAATATTCGCTTCATGAAAATTACTTTTTTTTTTTTCAGTGAAATTATATCTTTTTTTCATTCTTTAAAGAAAGTGAGATCCACAGAAATGATTCTTCTATGGAACATTATATAGCCTTATATAACCCTTGAATTTTAAGGGCAACAATTCTAATGTCAAACTCTTAGACATTTAGCGATCGTTCAACTCTCTAACTTACATTCACACACAACAGATCTCTTTAGAAATTTAGTTCACTTAAAACATTTATTGTTAAAAAACATTCTACAAAGAAGCATAAGAAACCCTCACCATTCAAGTATACAGAAATGGTGCAATGATCACCAATGAAAGTGGTACGTCATAAGCTGACACCCCCAGGTAGGGTACATTAGTAACCAAACAAAAATATTTAAATAAAGAAAAAAATAATAAATAATAATAAAAAATAAAATTAAAAAAATACATTTAATCGTTGAGCGAACTTTGCCCTGCCCACAATTAAAATCAGAGAAAGAAAAGTAAAAGCAGAATTAAACAAAATTAAGTGGAACGAGAGACTAACTGTTACTCAAGTACTCACTTGGCTGGCTGTCGACTGCTGCCTTGCAGCCCGTGCGTTTTGCCTGACACGGGAGTTGTTGGAGGGGTCGCTTTACGAGCACCCGACACAGCAGTTGGTTCCTTCCAGGAGGGAGGCAACATGCCAATCTCCAACTCCCCCTCCGTCGTCAAGGCAAGCGAATCTTTTTTGGGGCGACCGATTGCTCTGGGCCTGTTTGGAGATTGTTGCTGGTTACTTCGAACGGGTGTTACCTGTTCAATAAAGAAGAATTTTGAGAAAATGATAAGTTTCAATTAGTGATGATTAAATCACACTGCAATGATTTTAGTTTGAAAGCTATTAGGCACAATCCCTTCGAAATGGCATTCTATTTAGATAGTTTGTAGGGTAGCCAGCAACTCAGATGTTTAGTAATATTTCATCAGGAGAACCAATAGTAATAATCGAACTTATCCAATGTGCTTTATTTAAGAAAGCTGAATATTCTATCACCTCATTAATTGATAATTTTCAGTAATCAACATGTTTAATGACATGTTAAGAAAAATATAGAAAACCAATGCTGAACAGTGAAAAAATATTCATTGCTCAATAATATATGATAGCAAATATTGCTGGAATATTACCTGCAATGAAATTTGAACTTCCTTAATTTCACATTTTATATTACCTAAAACCTGACGAAGATAAGGTGTACACAAGAAGTTTTTGGTTCTCGTACATTTATACACGGCAGAATGTATCAATTATCAGTATACTAATGAGAATATTTTAACAACACAGAAAACTATGAAGTGTGATAAGCAACCCTTAATCATCTACCTAGAATGAGCAAGCTAAATTTACACAACATTGTGCTGAAGTAATGTTGCATTGGAAATTGATTTATCAACTGTCACTCCCATTTGAAACTTGAAAACAACTAAAACAAATTAACAAAATGGATAATGAATTGTACCATGTAACCACACTCCAAAAAACTATCAACAGTAATTTTCTATTTCATTGCCTATTATATCAGATTTCTTTGATCCTTATTTCTACCCAGCAATTTAAGAGGATGAGAAAAAAAGAAGTTTAAGCACACTTGAGCATACAGGGTATTTTTACAAAACCTAGATTTATTTTCTTTTCTGGTTGGCAACCTTCAGTCAGCTTCTGATTTACAATTTGAAGGATGTTAGAGAAAAGCTGAATTTATTTCATTTTGCCTACACGGAGAGTTTAACAATTGGTCATCACTTACCGGATCCTTCTGTCAGTTATAGAATATATAATTTCCACTTCCCTGCCAGAGGGGACCGAGTTTCAATGCATGGCAAAGGGAGCAGGGTAAGACAATCGGCAATAGGATTTAAATGACAGATCATTTGAGTCACCAACAGGCACTAGGAAATAAAATTAAGCTTAAGGTTCGCAAACAAGAGCTCAGTTTTGATTCTAAGAGTGCAATCCTAATTTAAATGGCAAAGTGGAGAGTGAATTTGACAATTCACAATGAAAGTTAGGAGCTCATAGGAAGCTTGCGATGAAGACACAATCTGATAATTCCCCTAAAAACAGGGCGAGGTATACATTGATGTTGGTGTTGGAATTATCTATATTAATACAAGAAAAGAAAATAATGGGAAGAAATGAAGGCTTCATAGAAGACTAATTTCACATTGCGCAATCAGAAACATAGTTTTTGATTTTTGTTTGCGAGAAGCAAGTTCCAACAATATAATAACTATTGACCATAATATGAGAAAAAATTTATTTTCCTAGGTAAGAAAAGTCACGGAGACTGATAAAGCAAAGATCCCTGTGATGGTGTACACAAGATGAGTGATAACTAAAGAGACTTGCTGCATATGCCAGTCTTCAGGGAACTCAAATCTCTACCCCCAGAGAATTTTATGAATGGGCACATATGAGTCTCAATGGAATTTTTTTTTCATACAGTACCATAGAAGAACATGAAGTGGCAGTGCGGTTAAACAGCGAAAGATATGTAGGGCTCAAAATAGTAGCAGGTTCATGGAACACCCAATCATCTTGTCATTCCAGTCAGCGATACTACTTTCAGTAAAATCTGTATCAAATTCAACTGAAATGCCTAGGGAAGATGTTCACCAAAAGATTCCACCACCAACACTAAGTTAAAAGAAGAAGTTCACTCTGTAGTTCATCAGCAGCCACGTGAGCAGAGCCACTGTAACAATGGAAGTAGGGGTTGCATACTGCCGCTTGCAGCTCAAATGAATACTTTTAATGATAATTATTGTTTCTTTTACGATAACATCAAGAAAATTTAATAGATTTCTAGAACATCCTGAATCGCCTGTTTCTCACCCAAGAAATACCTCCTTTCTCTGCTAGTTGATGAAAGGAGCATAGAGAAATATGCCTGGTCAGACGGAAGAGCGGGCCTGATGGCCCGAGTCTCGCCACGTAAAATAAGGCAAATTCAATTCAATTTAATGCAGTATTATTGCAGATTTTCATAAATTTAAAAAGGTTGTCTTTCCAGTAATTGCAATTTAAAAATGTTTTTTATTGTATGCCTAAAATAGTACGATATAATATTTATATTTATTTATAATTTGACAGACTTTCGTCCAGTATACAAATACAGAATAATACAGTTATACAATTAAGAAAAATAAGACTTGCGAATATCACAATAAAAATATAGTGAATATCACAATAACAATATAAATATTCTAAAAATCAATACAAGTAACACATAACTCATAACACAAAATACAAATACCCAATTCAGTAAAAAAACCTTCACGACTCCAAATGTCGCACCCTGACTTTGCAGCTTAGGTATTTGAAGAGGTTGCCATGGAAAAAGTACCTTTATTTCTCAAGTGAATTGAAGACTAAAATTCAATTCTTCGAGTAACAGCAGGCAATTAATTCTACCATTAACTAACAAACCAAACAAGGTATCATTGAAGTTACAAATATTGAATGAATAATTGTTGAATAATCTTTTATGTACTTAAATTTTTTTAAGGTTTGTAGAAACGTTAATAAGAAGAAAAATAAAGAAAGAAAATAGGTGTTCTCAATAGTGATGTGACATTGATGTTCAAAATTACAACATCGACTGAAAATCATTGATGTATTCAAGCTGGGTTATTGATTAAAAATTAAATTTGTGTGCAACAAAATTTAATTTGTCACTGTTCATATCATGCCAATTCACCAAAAAAGGATACATAAATAATGGGCAAGAACCATAAACTCAGAGTGCATTTGTTAACTATTTCACAATGGAAGATATTAATATGAAAGAAAGAAGAAATACAAGGAACGGGAGGTCATTTCGGGAGCCAGAGTTTGTGACGTTATATATTTCACATTTTAACTTTTACAGTATTGTGTTTATGGGAACTTTTCTTCCAGAAATAAAACACCAGGAGGAAAGAAAAAAAAAAGATACCACCCACACACAAATTGCATATGATTACATAACTTGAGAAATAACACAATTGTAAAAATTGCAACAGCAGCGGTGACATGTGGCCATTACTCAACCCTCTCTCTTGCAAAGGGGACATAGAGCTGAGTGTCAAATTTGCACACAGTGTTCTCAAGAAATTTAGTAACTCCATTGTGTGGTGTTGCTTCTTTGACTAAGTTAAGTGGTGTTTTGTGTTATTTTGTGGCCTATGGCTTTTCACAATAAATAAGAAACTCTGAATTCTGTCATTCATGGTCTAAATTAACCACAGGCCAGTTCTTCAATGGCAGTTGAAAGGTACTGTACATTTGTTTGAGATGATTCACAGAAACATCCACCAACACCAAGCACTTACAGCAGAAACATGGGGGGGGGGGGGGG